AGAAAATAGTCTATGCATGTTCAAGGTTTTGTATATATCCATTTACCATTGCCGCTCCCATTAAAATATCTAAAGTTTTTAACATATTCTCCAAGCGAGTTCGCTGGGATTTCCTGCCACTTTTACTCATTTCCGCAAGATATCAAGTTTTTTTATTGAAGTGATCACTAAAAGCTGATCACTTTTAAATTACTCACTTTTCTTAACTCAAATAAAAAATAAAATCGATATAAGGTAAGTGCGCCTAAGTTCAGCATGTGCCAGTAGTCGGCAGTCTTGAAATTTAAACTTAAATAACTAAGAATAGAATTGACCAAATAATAAGTAATTGCAAAAAAAAAACGTCAACAGTGTTCTCTGCTCTCTTTCTGTAAAAAAAACAATGAGCTCCGATCATAAAGATAATTTTATAGCTTAAAAACATACAAATCAAGCATTTTTCTGTTCAGTCACTTATATCCCCAAAGCGGGGAAACCGAGTCACTCACTTCCTAAGGACTATAAACCGATAAGTCTCTCATCCTTCTTATTGAAAACTTTGGAAATGCTGATAGACATAGAGATCAGATCTCTATTACCCAAGACCGCCATCAGCACTGCTCAGCATGCCTATATGAAAGGTAAATCTGTTGAAACAGCGCAACACGATGTCGTAGGGTATATAGAGAAGAACATGAATGGCTCCTTATTCACCTTGGCTGTCTTCCTCGATATTGAGGGAGCCTTCAACAACGTCACGTTAGAATCCATTCATGATTCACTATCAAAACTTAAGGTACCCCAACTCCTAATAGACTGGGTTGATACTATGCTTAGCAGCAGAATCATCAACTCGAGCATTGGGGAAACATCCGTCAGGAAATCGGTCACTAGGGGCACTCCTATCACCATTACTCTAACTTTTGGTTATTAACAATATACTTATAGATCTAGAGGTAACAGGGATAAAAGTAGTCGCATACGCTGATGATGTCGTCCTATTAATTGCCATGTAATCCCTGCAAACAATCTCGGACCTAATGCAAGGAGCTCTAGTCACCCAATCACGGCGGGCGCGTCACAATGGAATATGCGTGAACCCATCAAAGACAGAGCTCGTCCTTTTTACTAAAAGACGTAAATATCCTTCATTTACACCACCGAGACTAGATGGAGTCACTTTAAACCTCTCACCAGAAGCCAAATACCTTGGCACTATCCTTGACCACCAATTAAGTTGGAAGAGGTACACTGAGGAATGAGCTAAGAGAGGCTTGAATGCACTTTATTCCTGTAAGAACTCCATAGGTAAAAGCTGGGGCCTCAAACCACATATCATTAAATGGATGTATGAGTCAATCGTTCGCCCCATTCTAACCTATGGATCTCTAGTATGGTGGCATTCTTTTAAGAAGTCAACCTACTCACGACACATTAACAAAGTTCAAAGAGGCGCATCCCTACTAATAACGGGTGCCTTCAGGAGCACGCCTAAAGCAGCACTGGATACTCTACTGGGCTTAAGTCCGCTGATCATACATGTGGAGGAACAGGCATTCAGGAGTGCTTTTCGACTCAGAGAACTAAGCGAATGGCGCAGTCAACCCCTTGGACATTCTGCGATTCTAGGACGTATAAGGAATGTGGGGGAGATAGCCTATGCAAGTGACTATATTTCACCACGATTAAGCTTCTACCCACCTGACATACACATACCTGACAGAGACGCTGGACCCATAACAACCCACCTTTCCGCGGCATAGCTGTTTATATCGACGGTTCAAAGATGGAGTGTGGTACGGGAGCTGGTGTCTTCTGTGATACCCTTAATGTTCGTGAATCATACAAGCTTGGAAACAACTGTAGCGTATTTCAGGCGAAAATCTTTGCGGTCAAAAAGGCCATAGACCTGCTGGTCACGAGGAGCACTGAGGTCAGCGGTCCGGTGACTATATATGTCGATAGTCAAGCGACACTGTGGGCCTTAAATTCCTTTACTATCAAGTCTAGGGCTGTTTTGAACTGCAAGGAAGTCTTGGAAAACACTGGGTTGTCCATCAAGCTCTGTTGGGGTCCTGGCCATTATAACATCCCAGGTAACGAGACTGAAGGCGAATTGGCCAGGCTAGGATCCGAATCAACTACAATTGAAGTAGACAACTCGTTTAAACCACCACTGTGCCATTTCCTACAGGTCAGTCACAGACATTACTCTGAGAGAATCCAACAAAAATGGCTGGACGAAATGGGATGCACCATCTCTAAAAAATCTGGCACACTCTCTCAGAGAAGAGAACAAGATTGCTGATGTCATTATCAAAACCTGGTTTAAAACATGTGGTGGGTATCATCACAGGCCATTGTAAGGTGAGGGCTATGACCTCGAAATGGGACAGCGACGACATTGACTGCTGTAGGATCTGTCAAGATGAAGAAGAAATCGAGACAGTCGATACTTGCTCTGCCACTGCCCAGAACTAGTGTCACATGATCTGTCCTCTTTTTCTAACACTGACCCTATAGTAATCCTTCAATTAGCCAGAAGATTCAAGTGGCTAAAGACGACACGGCAAACTCCTCAGCCGTAGATCACACTCTATAACTTTATCTCTTATCTTCACCTCTTCTACCAACCACTTTTTCCTCTTTTCCTAACATTCTTCTAGCATGAACACAATGGACCTATAGGTCTCCGAGTGGAACGGTTGCCATATGATAACCGCGCGTCCTTTAACCTAACCTAAGCATTTTTCTGTTATATTATTTAATGCCGACATTAGGAACAGAAAAAAGGAATTTGCCAGTAGTCGGCAAGGGGTGCCGATTACTAGAAATATATAATTTTTGACCAATTTCACCAAAACTTGAGAAAATTATTAAAAATAATCCAAAAACTACTCAAAAAAAAAAAAAATAGTTTTGAGTCTGCAGTTGCTTTCATTAGTGCTTTTTGACCAGCTTTTCTAAATTAAGTAGGTAGCTATCTGGCGTTTTAGATAGCGGTGGAATTTTTGAAAAAAAAAAATGTTGGCTATCTAAAGGAAAAAAATCAATTCACAAATTCCAAACATAATAAAGGTACTTTTTTCTTTTTTATTTAATCTCATTTTTATATATACTATACTATTCTTGATTTTCTACCTATATGTGGTTTAGAATGATAATTAAAAAAAACACTATTTAAAAACGAAATTAATTTCAAATTCTGGATTAAACTGTGAATTTGTAATATAGCATTATTTCATACTATTTGAAATAAAATAATATACAAATAATAATATACACCACTTGGACGTCATGATCCATACATTGCTGTGGGATGTAATAACACCCTCTACGAGCTTTAGATCAGGTTTCGTTAAGGTTAGTAAGGACTTGTTCGTTTACTAGAAAGTGTTGTCCAGATAGACGACATCCCGCAGTGTTCAGCCATTTTTGATGACCTAGAGTAATGTTTCTCAATCATTCAGATAATGTAGCATTGTGCATATGTATTTTCGGCTGTTTTTTTTTTCTTCTGTCATAATTAAGAAAAATTAAGAAATGTTCGGTATTGCGTTATTTGTAAAGAACGTTAGTGAGTGCACATAATCGTTTGTTGCTTATTTCAATTTGTGTGCGGAACAACAACAGACGGTGCCCCTTGTTAAAAAAAAGAAGTAAGCAAGGGCTATAGTCGTGCGGGACCGACCATGTGATACCCTACAACACTACAATATGTTAGAAGCCCCCTTATATCCAAACCCATTTTAGAAGATTTCGCTTTTGAAATTTGTCATGGAGCACTGCCCAGATATTACCTTTAGTATTTAGACTCATCTGCTTGATTTGCTTTTCTACGATATTTGACTATATTCGTCAACGAAATCAGCATAAAAACCCAGAAGTTCGCCTTTTGTATATTTCGGATATCGCCTGTAAATAATGTTGGTATTTTTTCAAACAAAAGTGGTGGTCCATTCTACCTGCGATCCTAAGCTCTAACTTCATGCGAGATTTCGTGTCCTTTGTTTCCTATTTAGGACGCTTATAACAATTGCAAAATCAGGAACATTTTATCCCCAACCTGTGTTGTAAGGTGAAAAAAAAATTCAAAACAAACACTTCAATATTATAAATCAAATTGACAAAATCGCATGCGATAAAAAATATGAAAAAATAAAAATATGTCACAAAATACTACAAAATCTATTATAACAGAATTATTGGTAACTTTTTATGCGATTTTTTTAGATTTTATACTTTTATGCCAAAAGGGCATTCTGAATTGACAAAATTTGTCAAAATCGGTCCAGCCATTCTTGAGCTATAAGCATTCTAGGTAACATCCCCTACCTTTGTATATACACATTGTATATATTTCGCTATATATATATCCGATATATTTACTATCGACATCTACGTAACGGTCAGAATTAATTGATTTCGCCGAGATTAAAAATATTCGCGTTTTAATAGAAAACTTGACTTTTATTTAACACAAATCTTATGGTCTATTTCACCCACTAAATATTACCCGATGACCATCAAAATTGGAAGGCTTCTGCCCAGCCCTAAGCTCTAGCCCCATGCTAACTTCCGATCGGTCTATAATTGCGACCTGTAGAGCAACTGCAAAATCAGGAAATTTTTCAGTTTTTGGTCCATTTCAACCCCTAAACATTATGCGATCATCTCCAACAGCAATAGGCTTCTATTCTGGCCCTAGCCCCACCTCCATTCTAAATTTCGTGAAGATCGGGCCATAATTGCGACCTATAGAATGATTACAAATTAACATGGACAGACGGACGGACATACATAGCTAGATCGACTTAGCTCGGCGAGATAGGAATATCCATATATACTTTCCTATGTGGGAAACCATTATTTCGAGGTGTTACATAATTTTTGGCCCAATCAAACTTATAATACCCCCAACACATAGTGTTGTAGGGTATAAAAACTAATTTCATTACAAAATGACATTTTTAATTTAAGTTTTAACTCATATAATATTTTTTTATTCCTTTTCTTTTCAGATTTCTGGAGAGGGATCATTGTAGATTTGTTCCACTTTGTTGTTTATTTCAGTTTTTATTTAATATGCTAGTTAGTATTATAGTACATACTATACAATACACATAAGTATTAAAATATTCATATTAGTATAAAACTTAAATTGTAATTTGTATTACTATTGCTGCTCATAAAGTATTGTACTCGGTGCTATAACATAAGATATGTACAATTGAAATTAATGATTTATATATGCATACATGAAGTAATTGCAGGAACATGACTGATTTCAATAGAAACAGAAATAAATTATAGAATGCATATAAGAATATTATATTCAACTTAAAGAACCGACCCCCCTAGATGATTAAAAGGTTAATGAGCATACATATACTACCTACATACTAAAGATGCATATGTATATCTTCTCGTCAGCAGTTGTATTGTAAAATCTTTGAAATCCAGTCAAATTCAACAAATTAAATTTGTTATAAAATATCTAGTTATTAATAGCGTATTTATTCCCTGTTAAATCGGACATTGCTTTAAAACGTTTGCATTGTAAGAGACAATCTGAAATATGTCGAAGCAGTCTTACCTTGGTCCTACTCTAGAAAAGTTAAGTTTTAAAATTAAAGATATAAATGAAAATACATAGTAAACTATAAATACATGTTCGATTTAATACCAAATAAATGCAACATTTTCAAATACTAATGAGTCGTTATTATCCTCAGAAACATATTAGGGTAAAAATTGCATTTCAATAATTTGATTATAGAATCTAGTTTTGTATATAATATTAAAATTTTAGAAATTATTTAATTTAGTGTACGCACGAATATTAAAATTCCATAATTTGAAAAATTATTTGTAGCGGTGGTTGTATGTACATATGCACATCATACTGACGCAGTTTGTAGGGACTCAAAAAGCTTTTATAATAAACTAATGAAAACATTTCTTTATGAATGATGAAAGATGTCGGATATAATGCTTGGAATGGTTCAGACTATTGTATAAGACTTCCATACAAGAAAATTTTGCAGATGCCTAATGCAGATGTCTAATGCACAAACGCAGTCATGATATTGGCATATAACTAAAATCCTCATATTGTACATAGGAATTATAGAGCAAAATTCATTTAAAGTATTGTACCATGTGACATTAAGGTATTGTGGGTTTAATCAGTGCATTGCACAATTAATTGTGCTTTTTCGTATAATTTTATGATAGGCGTAATAATCGAACCAAACCTGTGATAATCGACATTAGTAACCACATTTTAAGTTAAACGAGTATATGTCGCAATTATGTTGCACCATATTTGCCGATGCCTTTGCACAATTATTATTTTCAACTTTTCGAGCTAGTTCCGATGGGATATATACGTATACTGGCGATTGGTATTCTGAACAATAAAAAATCTGGTTTTGCTTTTTAATCCTATGATAAATATGCGTAAATTCCGCATTAAACGAACTTATATTCACATACATACATATATACATATATTATTAAAGACCATAAACCGAACGCAACAATATGAAACCTTGAAAGCTGTGGTCTCAATGCGAAGTTCATTCTCCAAATATTTAGATTCAAATAAGCCAATAAAAATCTTAAATATTAAAAAACAAACGGCCAAATAAATATTATGATTTAATCATATACATACATTACTACATTAATATACATAAAACCAATGTCTATTATAAACTAAATAATAATACTGAATAAAGAGTCTCGATGTTTAAAAACATTAAAAGTACCGATTTAAAAATATTTGCAAGAAAATAAGGTGAGTGTATTTGTAAGAACTGCCAGGGTATGCGTCGGACGCTCCTTTACTGAAACAGGGAAAGGACAAATATCTGTCCTCAGTATATCTACCTTTCGACCAGATACTGAGAAAGGTAAAATATACTAATAGACTAATACAGTATTAACATTGCAAGTACTGTGTTTCTTTTCTTCACTTTGAATTGCCTTTTATTCCATACGCAGTTATTTTTAAATGTGAACCATTTGTGTAAATATATGTAGTAGTGAATTGCAGTAGTTGATTAGAACGGGATGAATGTCAGTTTCATTTTTAAGAACATTTTCAAAGTTAATACAGACGAACATCTATTATCCGGCACTCCTATATTCGAATACATCGGTTAACTGGCATATTGCCCGTGCGCAACATCATTTTGTAAGTACTCGTTATGCAAATGACACTTTTTGTCCTCGCTAAGCGCAGACGTTACTCTATCTATTTCTGTCTTAAGTTGAGCACATGACTGTTCAATTGTTTATACCCTCCACCATACATTTTATGGAAGCTGTATTAAGCTTGTTATTCTGTTTGTAACTCCTCGAAATATGTAGTGTGGATCAGAATAAGATTATATGTGGATTTAGAACAAATGAAGTAGATTGATACAATTCGTACATTTTAGATCCTTTGGTATAGTAATTGGAGGTGTTTTTGCTATTTTAGTCATAGTTTTGAACATACGTTTGTATGAAACTGTCCATATAGATCCACGTTAAGGCATAATCCCCATATAACTGTACGCCCGATATTCGGTATTTCGACGACTTGCTTTACATTTGCACCGGAATTGTATAAAATTTTGTATTTAGGATTTTGTAATGGAATCAAGCCATTATGGACAATATAAAGTATACACTATTGATATGATTAGTGCATAGTTTATACACCTTTAAAAATAAATGTATCGGGATTGAATATTGGGTTGAAAATCACCAATCTGCAAAATGTTCGGAGATATCGCAATATGGGTGATGTAAGAAATCCTGAGCCTACTCCACCAGTCTTCGGAAGACAAAACCTATTACAAACTCTTAATTCCGAATTTTTAACGATTCCGCTTAAACAAAGTTAATATGCCCTTCATTGTCTGGTAGAGAGTATAAAAAACAATTAGAGCACATAAAGACAGAAGATGTTATGAGATACTTTGCAAATTATCCTTACATTAGTCTCGGAATACACGTAGTAATTCGAAAAAGCCGAATCGGAACATTGGTAACTCGTTCCACAAACGAATGACTTTCACAGCAAATGATTATCTCGGGTGCCAATTGATGGTAATATGCAAAAGTGCTATTTCATTCTAATGGCAAACTAAAGCAAAAACAAGTAAAAAAGCAGTAAGTTTGGCCGGGCCGATCTTTGAATACCCTCCACCATTTAGAACGAATTTGAAAGTTTCTGAAAAAGATAACTTTCGGCGAAAATTCTGTTAACATTTTAAAAATATTGAATATAGCCCGTCTGTACGACGTGCACCTACATAGGCATTGTTTGTCACAAGCCATTACCATATTCAAATTCGAAACTTGAAATAAACGGTGAATAATGACGCTAAAATCATCAAAATACCGAATATTTGTGAGGTGCCGTTATATGGAGGCTATACGAAGACGTGGACCTGCACAGACAACTTTCTGTCTTAGGCTGTAGTATTCATTTCGAGCTTCGAACACCAAATTTGAAACAATTCCGGAATATCGGGAGGTACCGTTATATGGGGTCTATACGAGAACGTGGACCTACATGGCCCATTTACGAACTTAACCTGCCTACTGGCATAATAAACATGTTTGCAAAATTTTAGCATTCTATCTCAATTCGTTCGAAAGATAGCGTGATTACAACAGACAGACAGACAAACGGACATGGCTAAATCGTCTTAGAATTTTACGCTGATCAAGAATATATATTTGTTGGGTCTACAATCATTTTTTCGATGAGTTACAAACGGAATGAAAAAATGAATATACCCTCCATAGTATGGTGGAGGGTATAAAAATTATTTCTCGGTTTAGCCGACAGATGTATACCCTCAGCCAATGTTCGATTATTCAAATATATTTTGACTTATGATATGATTATTCAAATTGTTGACCCTCTATGCAGTAGGTTCTGAAGTAATGGGTCAATATTGTTCGATTTGTATCAGACCTAAACACATATGATATAAATATTTCGTCGTGCCAGGATTGAACTATATTGGTAACTTCCTTCACTTTATATGAGATATGTGATAATTTTTAGAAAATGTTAAAATGTGCGTGAGGTACCCTAGATATAGTCGAACGAGGCATTCCATTTTCATTTTTTTTTTCATGTAAAATTTTCAAAATATTGAACCCTATGTGGGGGAGGTACCAGAAGAAATCGGCCGATCTCTACCATCTTTATAATAGATCATACGTTGATATTGCGATGTACCAAGTCTGAATAGAATCGGATGTTCATTTCGCGTTTTATGATCTTCATGGATATTAAAAATGTTAACCCTTTCTGGGGGAGGTACCAGAAGGAGTAGACCGATATATACCATCTTCACACCAGACCTTGGGCTAATAAAATATTGTGATATGTCTAAGGCGAGAAGAGAACTAGATGCTTTTTCGGATTTTATGATCGTTTTGTTTATTCAAAACTTTCACCCTTTGTGGGGGAGGTACCAGAAGGAGTATTCCTATATCTACCATCACTATAACACATCTTGTGTTGATGGAAATATTCAGATGTGCCAAATCTAAATGGAATCGGATGGACGCTTTATGAGCTTAATGAATATTCAAAATTTCGACCTTTTGTGGGGGAGGTACCAGAAGGAGTGGACCGATATATTCCATCTTAAAACCAGATCTTGGGTTTATAAAAATATTGGGATGTGTGAAATTTTAAGACAATCGGATTCTTACATCACATTTTATGAGGGGTAAAATTATTCAATATGTTTACCGTTTGTGGGGAAGGCACTTGAAAGAGTGGACTGATATTATCCATTTTTGCACCTGACTTAGGACTGACACAAATATTAGGATTTGCAAAGTTGGAGCAAAATCGGATTATTGCTTTCCTTTCTGTGCAGAAAATATTTTTTGTTTTTTTTTAATTTCGACCTTTTGTGGGGGAGGTACCAGAAGCAGTGGACCGATGTTTTCCATCTTGGTACTAAACCTTGGATTAATAAAATAATTGGGATGTGTTACATTTGAAGACAATCGGACTCTCACATCAATTTTTATAACAGTTGCAACTATTCAAAATTCTGACCTTTTGTGGGGGAGGTACTTGATGGAGTGGACCGATATTGTCCATTTTCACACCTGACCTAGCACTGACGTAAATATTAGGATTTGCAAACTTGGAGCAAAATCGGAATATCCCTTCTCTTTGTGTGCAAAAAATATTTTTTGAAAATTTCGTCTTTTTGTGGGGGAGGTACCAGAAGGAGCGAACCAATATATTTCATCTTAACACCAGACCTTGGGTTGATAATAGTATTGAGATGTGTGCAATTTGAAGAGTCCGATGATTCTTACATAACAATTAATAAGATTTGTAATTATTTAAAATTTTGACCGTTTGTGGGGGGAGGTACTTGATGGAGGACCAGAAGGAATGGACCGATATTGCCCATTTCCGAACTCGATCTAAGTTTGACAATAATATTACGACGTACCAACTTTGGATCAAATCGGATACTTGCATATTCGCAAAATTGATTGCAGGCCCTAATACGGATTACAAAAAATGAAAAAAGAATAACGACTGTGCCATAACCAAGCAACAGCCTAGCAACGTAGCATGAGTTGTAAAAGATTAGCGAGGTCCGAATTTATACTGTATTTATACACTACAACACTATGTGTTGGGGGTATTATACATTTGATTGGGCTAAATTATGTAAAGCCTCGAAATGTGGTTCCCCACATAGGAAAGTATATATGTACTTCGCCTATCTCGCCGAGCTGAGTCGATCTAGCTATGTGTGTCCGACCGTTCGTGTGTCCATGTTAATTTGTAATCACTCTACAGGTCGCAATTATAGCCCGATCCTCACGAAAATGTATGTGGGGATAGAAGCCTATTGCATTTGGAGATGATCGCATAATATTTAGGGGTTGAAATGTACCAAAAACTGAAAAATCCTGATTTTGAAGT